ACTGAAAACCCAAAAAGCCCCCACTCCTTTTGTCTGGTCTTCTGGCTGCAGTGTCCTCAGGACAGGCCCCAGGCTGTGACCTGTAAAGGGAATGAACTGGAAGCACTTAGCACATTGCTTGGCTCACAGTAATTGCTGAATAAAAGCAAGCTGAATTTAGAAAGCCAGTAAGTTCTGCAGAAAACAGATTAAGTTCTCCCCGACACATACAGAAGTGCTGGAGTCACAGCGTGACTTTCAGGACTGTGGTTACTTTTGTCCCAGGTCATTATTAAAAGAAAGAAATCCAGAATTATCAGGAAATCCCCCCTCCCCCCGCATACATGTGGAATATGCAAAAATAAGTTTTTTAAAACTGAGTGTGGAGGAAAATAAACCCTGAGTAACATTTCAAGTTTACCTTGAGCAAATGCTCATACCATTTTTTTTAAAAAAAGCATTAATTACTCTGTTCAAACATTTACATATATTAGGCACCCATAGAACTTAAATGAATGATTCTCAAAGTGTGGCCCCTACCAAGCAGCTTCAGTGTCACCGGGGAAATGTAAATTCATGTGCCTTAGCTCAGATCTAATGAATCAGAAACCTTGGAGGTGGGAGAACAAAATCCATGATGTAACAAGTCTTCCCAGTGATTCTAAAAGACACTGAAATATGAGAACTTTTGATGCAAGGCAAACAGGACTCTGTCCTGAAACAAAATTAAAGAAGGCTGAATTCAACTCTCTCTAAACCTCCTACTGTGGGGCCTAGCTGGTGGCGCAAGGGGTTAAGCACAGCACTGTGAAGCTATCTGCAGCCTCTGCAGCACGAGTTGGATCCCTGGCAAGCCAGGGAGCAACCCACATGGTACAGCAGACCTCTCCTGTCTTGCCCTCTGCTACCCTCAGCAGTGTATTTCAGTCAGTCTGCCTGTTCTGTTCCCCACTCTGTCTCTGGTGAATTCTTTCACCTCCCCACATCTCTAGCCTGTACCCCAGTTATTGTATGCATAAAATATAAATCTTAAAATAAACAAATAAGCAAACAAATAAACCTCCTTCTGTATATCAAAATAGAAAACAAAACAAAACAAAACACAGTGTCACTAGTAAATTCTCTATCAATATGTAACTGTCCCAGGCCTGGCAGGTTCATTGTCAGTTCTCACAGACCATAGAGAATTTGGAGACTTTGGTAGATTTTTGGAGTCCTTTAATGCGGAGACAGGGCACCATACACAATGGGAGGCAGAAAGAGCAAGAGAGACTCCAAAACTCTGAGAGAGGCAGAAGAGAAACTCCACTGCCCATAGCCACAGCCCACACATGGTTGCAAACACAAGACCATCCGTTTGCTTAGATGTCTAAATGGTGGAAATATCGCATTTCAAGGTACGGGCTGTCTATTGCGTGGAAGGTGGAAAATAATACAATTTTAACCCATTTTCCTTACAATGCTCAATGAGCAAGGATAACAACCAATTTTCTATAAGAACCTGAGTTTCTTTCTCCCTTAAAAAAATTCTGAAATACCGATCCTGAAATTTAAAAAAAAAAAAAAGTTAACTACAGGTTTTTTAGGATTTGCAAGCCCTAACTTGTCAATTTTATATGTAAAATACATATTTTAATAGACCACATTACCATGTTTAATTTTTATTATTAAAACGATAAAAAAAATAAGGCTGTGGCGATACAGTACAAAAATCACATTTTCCTCTTTAAAAAAAGCCCAAGTAAGGGCCTCCCCGGTGCTGCAAGGGGTTAAGACGCAACCTATGAAGCTATCCCAGCCACTGCAGCATGAGATCGATCCCCAGCCAGGGAGCTACCCACATGGCACACAGACCTCTCCTGCCTCGCCTGCTGCTCCCCTCAGCAGTGCATTTCAGTCCATCTGCCTGTTCTGTTCCCTGCTTTGTCTCTGGTGAATCCTCTCATTCCGCCCCCCACCTCTGGTCTGTACCCCAGTTCTTATATACATAAATAAATAAATCTTAAAGAGAAAAAATAAAAAAAACCAAGTGCTGGCCCCGCCCTCTGGGAAGTGCGCTCACTTCCAAGGGGTGGGGGAGGCGTTTGTGACGTGCTTTGCTCTCCTTGGCAATAGCGTGGGCAGTTGGGGAGGCGACGTTCACTGGTGTGGGTCAGTGGATCTCCCCTGAGCTGGCGCTTTCACTGAGAGGAAGCGGTCAAGGAGCGGGGCCCAGCGCCTTTCGGCTGGGAGGCATCGCCTTCCCCGCGCTGTCAAGACGCCATGGACTCGGTTCTGGCTACTGGGTCTTCTGCACCTGTTTCTCCGGGAAACCCGGAGGTTCTGGGATCGTTGTCGATGCTCTACACAGCCCTGATAACTAAGCTCCTGGAGCTGGTGGCTCAGTTGCCTGATGATGCTCAGCCTGGGCCTGATTTTTATGGACTGCCGTGGAAGCATGTTCTCATGACTGTCTTTTTGGGAATTGCTTCATTCTCCATTTTCTTCTGGAGAATTGTTCTTGCTGTAAAGAGTAGAGTCTATCAAGTCACTGAACAGCAGATATCTGAGAAGATCAAGAATATCATGAAAGAAAACGCAGAACTTGTACAAAAGTTGTCAGATTATGAACAGAAGATAAAGGAATCAAAGAAGCACGTCCAGGAAACCGAGAAACAAAACACTATTCTATCAGATGAAGTGGTTAAATTTAAGAATAAAATCAAGACACTTGAAGAACGTAAAGAAGCGCTGGGTGATACAGCTCACAGGCTGCGTGTTATGTTAGAATCTGAGCGAGAAGAAACTGCAACAAATAAGGACTTGATTCTGGAAAACAAGAAATCTGTAGAGAACTTAAAGGATGTTATTTCAATGAATGCCTCAGAATTATCAGAGGTTCAAACTGCTCTTAATGAGGCAAAACTAAATGAAGAGAAGGTGAAATCTGAATGCCACTGAGTTCAAGAAGAACATGCTAAGCTTAAAAAGAAGAAAAGACAGTTGCAGCAGGAGATAAACAACTAGAGTAAATCTCATTCTGAAGTCAGTGAGCAAATCAAATCATTTGAGAAATCTCAGAAAGATCTGGAAGTAACTCTCACTCGTAAGGAGGATAATATTAATGCTTTGACTGATTGTATCACACAGTTATATCGATTACATTGTGAATCTGAACCTGAGGGTCAAACTAAATGAATTAGCAAATGATGAATTAGATGAATTAGCAAATGGAGAAGAGGCAGGTGATCTTGGTGAGAAAATGAAAGCTCAGATCAAGCACCTGATGGATGTTTCTTGGACACCAACTGCTTTTTCAGTAGGTGAAGAGGATCTAAAACTTTTACGGTATAAACTAAGAGCCTCGATGTCCACTAAATGTAACCTGGAAGATGAAATGAAGAAATTGGAAGATGATCAGTGCACTCTGCAGTCTGTCAAAGCTGGACTGCAGGATGAATGCAAAACCCTGAGGCAGAAAGTGGAGATTCTGAACAAACTCGACCAGCAGGAGGAGACAGCTCTGCAAAAGAAGTTGTACGAACAGCAAGAGAGAGAGCAACAGCTGTCAGCTGCAGATGAGGAGGCAGTTTTGGCTGCAGGGGAAGTGAAAACTTACAAGCGGAGAATTAAAGAAATGGAGGAAGAATTACAGAAAACGGAACGCTCATTTAAAAGCCAGATAGCTACTCATGAGCAGAAAGTGCACAATAACTGGCTCAAAGCTCGTGCTGCAGAGCGCGCTACGGCTGAAGAGAAAAGGGAAGCTGCTAACTTAAGACACCAATTATTGGAAGTCACCCAAAAGACAGCAGTGTTGCAAGAAGAACCTGTGATTGTAAAACCAATGCCAGGAAGGCCCACTATACAGAACCCTCCTCTGAGAGGTCCTTTCAGCAGTAACGCTCTTTCGGCCCATCTCCCGTGAGCCGTGGAGAGTGCTGCCCCCCACTGACAGCTGACTCACCTATTAGACTGCTCTCTGCTACACTTGGTCCAATGGAGGTGCCTCCAGGTGAATTTGATCGCGCTCTGGCGCAGCTCCCATGATGAACAGCAACTCACAAGGCCCTTCACCTAGTAAGGTGCTGGATGAGGGCAAGGTTAACATTGCTGCAAAAGGCCCCCCTCCTTTCCCAGGGGTGGTACCCTACATGAGCTCCCCCATGGGGGGCCCTATTCCACCACCACCCATTCGATATGGACCACCTCCTGCATTCTGTGGGCCATTTGGGCCACGACCACTTCCTCCACCATTTGGGCCTGGTATGCGTCCACCTCTAGGCCCAAGGGAGTATGTACCAGGCATTCCACCAGGAAAACTGTCTTTTGATCCTCGAGAGTTTGTACCAGGACACCCACCTTTTAGACCTTTGGGTCCTCCTGGCCCAAGAGAGTATTTTTTTCCTGGTCCCCGAATACCACCCCCACCCTATGGGTTCCAGGATTATCCACCTCCACCTGCTGCAAGAAACTTCTTAGCTTCTATCTCTAGAGACCAGCCCCCCTCCTGCCTCTCAGATCAATAGTCAGGACTGATTGCAGGCTTTAAAACAGAGCGCATAGTTCTCACATGTAGTCGGAGAAGAAAGCAGACTATGTACTATTCATTACAGTCAAAGATTTCATTGGCTTTACAATCCAAAAAATTCTTTTAAAAGGTTTATTTTTAGACATAAGCTGCCCTAGCAGCATGCATTTTTGAGCCAAACAATTAAAAAATATTATTTCCCCTCCAAATAAAAATCACCTCATAACCTAGACACTCCTTATAATTTTAAAAGGTACAATAAAGAATACCTGTGTTTCAGCTGATGTGGCATATGTAATTGCTAAATGATTTAGAGTGTCATGAAAAATATGAACATTTCCTGTGGAAATGCCATAAGAACGTGTATTTCCATTTACTATCCTATTTTTAGTGAACACCAGTCAATACAGAGCAATGGTGTGTATAAGCTTGATTTTTTTAAAAAAAAACCTGGTTGCAAAGACTGTTACACTAAAAAGTGTTTACTAAACAGTCACTAAACTATAAAAAAAGTTAAAATAAAACTTGTGACAATTCTGATTTAGAACTAGTGATGTGTAAAAGATAAAGGGTAACTGCAATATAAAAGTATGCGTCTGTGTCTGATGTAAGAAAAAATATTACAGAATACTGAACATCTTAAAACTACATTTTTTCAGGAAGAGCCGAGAGGAAAAAGAATTTTCATTTGAGGGCAGTGTAGAGATGGGGGTGCTGGTGAGAGACACCGAGACGCACCCACGGAGACAGTCTGTGGTCACAGGGGAAGGGATATGAGAGAAGACAATGGGTCGACTGCCAGTTCTGTGGAGGGTTCCACAAATTCCAAGAACAAGACTCTTGAGTATGTTTATCCAACACTTTTCCCATGATCTAGAATTCACTGAGAGAAAGGGTTGACTTGACCTAGAATTCAGTGAGCGAAAGGGTTGACTTAAATGTCAAGAAGAGCAAACGAGTCAGTCCAGATGAGCAGGCCCTAGTCAGGAACGCTGAAGGGTAGCGCGCTGATGACCTCTCCGGATTCGGTGACGATGGCGTCGTAGACCCAGCGCCGGTTGCAGCGACATTCGGGCCCACACTTGTTGGAGTTGCATTTGGGACAGGGATAGAAGCAGCCCAGGCAGTTCTTCTCCAGGCAGTCGCACAGGTCAGCATCGTTACAGAGGAGCCTGCCGCTCTTGTCATACTTCCTCATAACTCTGCCAAGACAAGCATGGCGCTACCATGGCGGGCACCTTCCCTCAGCACCGAGAGTACGTGGCCCTGCAGCCAGCTTCACGCACATCATCCTCTACTCTGAGGAAACAGCACCCTACATATTACCCTGCAGCCCTTCAGAACTGAATGGGGTGGTAGTGTCCCGGGAAACTCAGTCAACCCCACACCCACTTGCCGCTGAGAGAAACACTTCATTTTCCAGGCCTATTGGGGATCTAGTATCCCGCCTAAGCAAATTATGAGGACCAGTTCATTCAAGTTTCCTCCTACAAATGTCCCCAGTGTCCCTCTAAAATTACCACCCTGGATGGTATTTTCCTTTGTAAATTATACTCTGCAATTCTTAAGAAAAAGCAATAGAGTGAATGCAATCACATTTTTGAATGACTCGAGATAAACATCAGAAATGTCAGCTACTACACTGTCACCATTTAAAAAAAAAAAAAGAACACTCCTTGGCTCATAGTTCCCCCCATCCCAGGTCCATTGCTCTGCTCCCTTTCTGATTCTGGTTTTGGCCCAGTGGTCAAGAGAAAGTAAGTGAGCAAGAGGGCAGGATCCATCCTAAGTTGAGGGGAGGCATGAGGTTAGCGTAGAACACTAGCATCCACACCTCACACTTTCTCTGTCAGCCTCTGCAACGTGTGCATAAGACAAAAGTTTTCACAAGAATTTCACCTTCCTCTCCAAACCGACCCATTTTGAAATAATCCTTCCAATCAGCTGCCTAGAAATCCTGGAGAAACAATGGTCCCTCTGTACAGCTTATGTATTACAGTTATACCAGTGGACATTTCTTAAAGGCTGACCCTAAACTAGGGTGGTGAAATTAGGAATTTCAGCACCACCCTTTGTCTCCCCGGAGCTGTGGAACCTATTTTGAGTCAGACTCTTTGTCTCTAACTGTTATAAAGAGGCTTCCAGGGGAGGGCCTCCCCTGGTGGTGCAGCAGTTGAGCACTGGGCTGCAAAGCTGCCTGCAGCCTCTGTAGCGCCGGTTCTATCCCCAGCCACCAGCTGAGGGTCCCACATGGCGCGCAGACCTCTCCTGCCGCCCGCTGCTCCCCTCAGCAGTGTACTTCGGTCCTTCTGCCTGCTCTGCTGCCCGCTCTGGCTCTGGTGAATTCTCTCATCCTCTCTCGCTTCTGACTGTACCCAGTGCTTGTATAAATAAATAAACAAATCTTAAAAAAAAAAAAAAAAAAAGAGGCTTCTAGGGGAAAGACTCAACTCCCTGTCAGCAACTCTGAGAGAAGGTGCACTCGGGATTTCTCTGTATTGAGGTTAAACTGATGAGGGAAGAACATCAAGGCCCTGTTCTTTATCAGTGGCTAGAAAGGAAACAGGGAGGCCGCTGTTACTAACGATAGTTGTTACAAAGAGACTTTCTACACTGCACTTTTCTACCTGAACACTCCTGTCACCAACCCAGAATCTCAAATAATCGTAATCTTAGAATTTAGACCACTCCCCTTGACCCATGATCCCCTGAACCTTGACTCTGGTGGACCACAGCTTGGAAGTGCCCCTTGGTTGTGGATCTGGAGCACGGTCCCTATACTCAGACGAATGCCTTCTGGATTACATTACAACCTGGTCATTTCTGAGTGGGGACAGCCACACACTGCCTATGTTAGCCTAGCACTTTCCTCTTCAGTTAAGTATTCTCGTTCCAGCCCCTTCTTTTCCTAATAAAGCAGGGAGAAGATTGGGGATCATTACATGTACTCATTATGGATACTTATCACACTGTGGGGGAATGACTCCCCATGAGGATTTTACACTGAAGCATTTCATCTGTGAAATAAAACCCCCGCCCCACCAAGGCTGCTGGGAAATTCAGGTGGCAGACCAGGAGATTTAAAATCTATTATGTGGGGCCTTCCCGGTGGCGCAGCGGTTAAGCGCTGGGTTGTGAAGCTGCCCGCGGCCTCTGCAGCACCAGTTCGATCCCTGGCTGCTCCCCAGCCACCGGAGGAGGGTTCCACATGGCTCGCAGACCTCTCCTGCCGCCCGCTGCTCCCCTCAGCAGTGTCCTTTGGTCCTTCTGCCTGCTCTGCTCCCCGCTCTGGCTCTGGTGAATTCTCTCACCCTCCCGCGCTTCTGACTGTACCCAGTGCTTGTATAAACAAAACAAACAAACAAACAAATAAATAAATAAATAAAATACATGCCTCTTTAAAAAAAAATAAAAATAAAATCTATTATGAGAATGATGAGAATGTGTGATTGTGTGAGGGCCACTGGTTGCACAGATCAGATTCTGTCCTCCCTTTGCCTTAACCCAAACATTCACACATCAAGACAAATTTTACACTCTCCTGCATACCCAATGCTGAATTTTGTAAAATACTTAATCATATATACAAAAGCATATAAAAAATACACGCACAGATAAAGAAGAACAAATGTCCATGTGTCTACTGATCAAGAATACTTAATACTTAAAGAGGATGATGCCTTTACAGTCCTCATCATAACCCACCCATTGCATACCCCACCGGACCCCACAAGAGGAAATACACCTTGATGTTATAAAAATCATCTCCGAGCTTCAGTAATGCCACATGGCTAGGTCGCTCCAGGTTGCATTTCTTTTTCTGCAATTTTCTTTTTCTATTCTATCAATACATCACAGTTTGAGATTCACCCTTCACAGTAATGTAGCTGTAATCAAGCATTTTTTCCTTCTATATGTATCCCACTGTAAGAATGACAGGTGGACTATTGCAAGATTACTACTTTACTTTCTTTACTATTGAAGTTATGAAACTTCTGGAATGTATCTTCTGTTGCCCATGTATAAGTTTTCCTTCTTCACTTCACCCAGGAGTGAAGAAGTTAGGCTAGAATGAATGCAGGTCACGGCAGGCTGTTTTTAAATAGGGTTGGTGCCATTTTGCACCCATGCCCGTAGCTTCATCAACAATGATACTGTCAGACTAAACTCTTTGCCTTTCTGGGGAGTGAAACACTTTCTCACCTTACACTGAAGAGGTTCATCATCCTGGGTGTTATTAGCCTTGTCTTCTGTGAAATGTCTGTTGATTGTTTGCCTTATTTTTCTCATAAGATATGCACCTTTCTCATATTGACTTGTAGGATTCTCTCTATATTTTGGATACTGATAACTTCTCCTACTTAGTGATTTGTCTCCCATGGGTAGGAGGGGAGGTATTGTAACAGGGTGGTCCCCAGAGAAAGGGGAGGTTCCCAGTTCCCAGCCCTTCCCCCACCCCCAGGAAGTGTGGAGCTGAGCAGGGACAATATCTTTTAATAAACATAAATTCTTCATCTTAATGTAGTTAAATTGATTGACTTTTTCCTTGTGTTTTTCTTAGTTTCTACTTCTGCTAAGCTAATAACCCTTATATTTCATGATCATTTTGTGCAAATTTGATACCTGAATCCATTCCCAATGTTCTATTACTTCTCCTTCAAATGATTTCTCTTTCTTATTTTTAATCCTCTTTTCTACTAAGTCATTCATTTCATCTCAGGGCATCTGAATTCTTTAAAAAAACTGATTCCATTTTTGAGGTTATAGTCTAAGTCTTCAAGTTGCCAACTTTTGGACACATGTATTATAGAAAACATTGCATTATAGAAAACACTTTAAATCATAAAAGAGGCAACCTTTAATTACTTTGTCAAGCAGAATTCACGCATATTACAAACCCACAAATCAAATAGAGCAAATCATGACCTTACTTGTATTTTGCAGAAAAGTACTCATTCATCTTTGACATCCGGGCTTTCTTTTTCTGCTGCCTTGTTTCTGGATTAAAGTCAGCTACCTGCGGTCCAGGGTTTTGAAATGCCAAACATTTTAACTGCCGCTCTATCTGTTGCTATGAAACAAATAAAAGGCCAAGTATAAGAACCGCATATTTTTACTGGTTTGACATATCAAAAAGAACTTCCTGTAACTTTTACCATCACGACATGAAGGTCTAGATGTTTTCATCTAGAGAAATAAAGCTTAATCAGATGAAGGTTTAAAAAAGGATGTGAATTTTGTGAAAGTAGGTTATTTTTTCCAGATGAAGAAACACATAGTATAAAACTCATAAAATAAAAATGTAAAAACCAGTCAGACCAGATATGGGATACACACCTGAATATACCTGTAAAAGGCCAAGGACATGGGAGTAAAGGCCCTTCCACAGGTGTTAGAGAAGCAGGCGAGCTGTGCTGTGTGGTTCTGAAACCACAGGGAGAGTCCAAAGTTCACACAGCCCTTCCCCTTCAGGGTTAAGGGTCGCTTCCCCCCCCAACACACACTCACTACCCTGGACCATGGCCTCCATCCAGGCATCTGTGTAAACACAGACCCCTGAAGTATCTACTCTGTCAAGGCCAAATTTGAAGAAAACCTTGCTACCACAACTTTCTAGAATATTCTCAGAAGTCTCATTGGGGGACAATTATAATTTGAAATTAAATGGCGCCTAATCTAGAAGAGAGCAACAAAGATACTTCAATGACTTTGATAATATCTTTAAATGTGTATCACACACGTCATGAGGGTAGGATATATTCTTGAAGGATTTTCAGAAGAAAATAATCAGAATAGCTCCCAAATTTGTAGGCTGACATCTGCACAAAATTCAACACCTGGAAACAAAAGGCAAAGGAGAAAGTTTATTTCTAGCAAGCTCGTTACTTCTTTTCCCTGTTTAAAAAAAAAATAGCAACTGTAAGGAAAAAATATGTGAAGATTAGATCAGGACTAAATGGGGCTTTTACTTCGGTCTTTGCTGCCTTTGGGCATAAGGGCAGGACTTTTAATGTATGAATTTCAAAATAATAAACAGGTAACAGAACCTCAGGTTTTTCTGCAGTTCATTTAGTTTACTTGGTTAACTGCACTCCATCAGCCTGGGGAGCTGAGATCTTTCCTGAGGTGACTCAGCCCACCAGCCCACCCAAGTCAGGGCACCTCAGAGATCAGAGAGCTGGGCACTCCCCAAATACCACGAGTCAGAATTTCCATACACCATACCAGCTGCTTCTGTCCTATTGGACAGCTTTTCTCAGGAGAACTTTGACCTGGGTGTCCCTCTTGCGTGGAATTGTTTTTTTCTGATTGTTCACTCATTTCTGATCACTAAAAAAAGCAAATGGAAAAAATTAAAACACATTAATATCATACATCCTCAGTAACGTAACCCTGTGACTTTTCTGCTCTCTCCCTGCATTTTATTTCCCTTCAAAGCCAGGTTTCCTTAAAAAAAAAAAAAAAAAAAAAAGCCATCTGCACTGCTGGCATCCTTTTTTTTTTTTAAAGGTTCACTCTTGCATTTGACTCCCCCACATCTTTTTCCTGATGCTCTTCCCTGCTGGGTGTTCTATGAGCAAATCTAATGCACCATTCACAGTTCTTAGCATCATCGCCTTATCTGGAGCCAACAACCTTGAGGCTAGTCATCCTGGGTAAGAGGATTAGGGTCCTTAGACTTCCATTCTGCGCCCTCTACTCTTACTCCCTTGGAAGAAAGTAAGACACACGAATGTCATACACCCCCATGGCTTCAGCTGTCACCTCCTCAGGGATCACTCCCCAAGCTGCTCACAAAGCCCTGGCCTCCTCACTCAACTTTTCTGACAAATTTCTCATACAGCGTGTGCTAAATGGAAGTCATCTCTTTCCCATAAAACCCAGCTGCAGAAATGCCTGTACCTTACTTCTAAATGCTTTCAGTAGACATACAGGGGGCACAATGGTACGTTGCAGAAGTGACACTCACACAAGTTTGATGGAGGACAAGAATAGAAAGACTGCAAAGGAGGTACCCCAAGACCAGAACCTGACTCACAAGGAGGTGGAGGTGGAGGGGAATAACATGAACATTAACCCAGCTGTAGAGATCAGGACCCTTAGGCATCAGTGCCTTATCACAGGGCACAAGACCCAAGCAGGATCAGAATGCTCTAGGGAGTGGAGCACAGGCCTGAGGGTAAAGATATGGAGATTGGGCCCACGCTGGAATCTCTGGTCCTTCCTGGTTTTGCCTGTTACCCAACATCAGCAACAAATCTCTGGTCCTTCTTGGTTTTGCCTGTTACCCACTCCACGGAGGAGTGACCCCTCTCAAACAGAAGAAGACTGTACCAGTGCAGTCTCTGCACAGGCTGGGGGCAGCACCCCCACTGCCCACCTGTGACTCTGCAGGTGCCTCTTTTCACCATCTCTCTTCCTCTGCAGGGCAGCATCCTCCCTGCCTGCCTGTGACCTGTACATGCCAGGAATTCTCTTCACTGACCTCTCTCAGTGGAGGCCACTCTCCTCAAGGCCGCCCGCCTGCCACCACGCAGGCCTCTCTCCGCAAACCTGTCCCTCTGGGGCAGCTCTGCCTGCACACTTGTGTCTATGCAAGTGGCTTTTACTCTTTTGTCCCTTTCACTCATAAACCTGCCCTTTAAATATAACAAGCGTCTCTGTCTCATGGAGAAACTCGCCTGGGAAACTCACCACGTGCCGCTGAAAGGGAAGCTCTGGTAGCACCTTTCCCAGAGTGACCCCAAGGACCCCGCACTAACTCCAAAAACCATACCAGGATAACTGCAGAGGCTGGCAGCTCGCAGTGCTCCTCAGAGTGCAGTGTTCCAAGGATGAACCACAGCCTGCTGCTGCCCCTCCCTCCCATCAGCTCCAGAGGCACATCAGTGAGCTGGTTCTCCCCAAGGAAGCTAAGCACCCCAATTTACTGAGTCGGTTGGCATCAGCACTTTGCCTGCCAATTGGAAATCCCAGCTGTCTCCATGCATCTTCATTCTCCCCAGCCAAGTCTCTAGACTCTCCTGGAGGCCCTGCCTCAATTCCCAACATTAAGTGTGGGAGGAAAGTTGATATTCCCAAGGTGGATTCTTTCTACTCTCTATCAGGCAGACTCCACATAAAAGATGCTGGCAATAGTACTACTGCCCGCCAGAAGCAGTAGTAATGTAGCAGGGTAATCCCCAGGGAAAGCAGGGTACTCCCACCCTAAGGAAGGGTGGACCTGGGAAGGGAGGTCAGTCTAGAAAACACAGGGAAGAATAAGGAGCAAGGAAGGAAGAAGCAGGAGACAAGAAGCCTGGGAGGAGGTACATGGAGCAGAGAGACATGTGAAGAAGCTGTGGACATGTAGCAGGGACCTGGGGGACACGGCAGGAGACACTTGAAAGTGACAGAGATGTGGGTGAGAGGCCTGTGGGCAGGATGACAATGGCAGCCTTTATCTTCACTTTGATTTTGATTTTGTTTTTCCCTTCCATAATTGCCTGGCCCCTTCTGCCCTTTTCCTGTGGGTCACCCCCAGAAGGTGCCTTAGACTCATGGCAAGCTTTTGGGCCTCAGTGGTCCTGCTCTGGGCCAACCCTGTTTGGCTGGGCATTTACCCAGGAGGAAATAGTTTACACTGGGTGCTTGATTTGGAAATTATATTCTTTCTCTTCTCTTTATCACGTGCTACTTCTATTAAAGTTCTTTTCCATTGAAGGTTTTATGCACTAAGCATATTTTGTCTGTATGTGGTGGCAGAAAAAACTGTTCAGAGCATGCAAGTTTGGGGGTGCTGAAGTGCCCCTCACCCTGACAGCTAACAGTAGTAGCAACAACAGCAGTATTATAAGACCCCTGGACCTACACCTGGCTGGCCTCATCTTCCTGTTATTGAGCCCCCAGTTTGCTAAGAATTCCACAAACCCTGGTCAGTCAGACACCAGGGTGGATGTCTGTGAAGTGCGATGTATGAAGACGCATCTGTGCATGCCCCAGTGTAGCCCAACCTAAAACACACCACGACACTGCTCCCCATACCACACCCTGGTAATCAACCCCATAAAGCTGGGATGCCCCCCACTGCTCTCAGGCCAAGAATGTGGCTCAGGGGTGTTGCTGCCCCTCTTCAGTTGTGTAGACCACAATAAATGTTCCTTGGTTGAAACCTATCATTGGATTTTTCAAAATGGGGGGTGGGGTTAGTTGGTGGAAGCCGGAATCCAGTCTGGCTTTATTTCATTTTGCACTGACCCTTCAGAACCTGTAACGGAAATATCTTACCGGTAGCCAGCATCGCCTTAGCTCCCTTCACTTCGCTAAACTCTAAATTGACTCCAGGCCCTGATTTCCGTTTTCTAGAAGCATTTACTTCAGAGAACTTGAAATTGTCAATTCCTCCTCTGCCTCATTGACATGGAAATCTCACAGCCTCCTGCCAGTCTCACCACCCAGGATGGCTTTCTCCAGGATTAGTTGCCACCCCCCTAACACGCAATCAGTGGGGAAGAGAAGGCCCCTGTCTGCCAGTCTCTGTGGGAGGGCAGGAGCCTAATTGGGAATCGATGGATGCCAATTAGCAAACACAGATGGCCTAATCACAGAGAAAAACATTTGCAAATTGGGGAATACCTCAATGCTCAGACCACACCCCAAGGATCCACTGCATCCCCACTGCCTTGTGGTATTTTCCTCCTGCCTTTTGTTTCAGTGGAGTCAAGCTCTCACTGAGTTCTGGCCTTTCCCCTATTCATATAGAAAGCCTGAAATAACTTCTCCTTTGCCCATTTCATTCTGTCCAGGGCAAATTTTGCTTTGACATCTTCACAGGCAATTTCACATCTGATCAGCCAAACATTTCTGGGGTGTAAGGTTTCCAACTGTCTGAAGATAAAAGTACATGGAACTGTTTTAATATTGATAAATTCCCTTTCAAATCCCAGATATTCCGGAGTTACCACTTTCGGTAGAGAACCCTGGTCATCTATAAAAGCGGCAAGTTCTCCAGGTGTGTCATGTTCTTCCAGCCAGTCTTGCCAGTGGATTGTGAGGTCATTGGCCCTATTTTCTGCCCACCCCCAGTGCACCTATGATATCGTTAATATTTCTAAGTGAGAAATATCCCCTCATTTCTATTAAGAGGCTTCAGTGACTTCCCCGTCAGTGATATTCTGCACCCCTGGCCTATGGGTGCAGGTTCATCATACCTGTCTGCTCCCCTACCTGCTCAGGATCACTCCTGCTCCATCCTCACTTGGGCCAGAGCTACCTACCTCCCTGCTTCCGCTCATGCACCTTCTCATTCCCCTTAGCTCTTCCCCTTTCAACTCTGGTCCCTCCCTCTGTTCCGAAAAGCCTTCCCTGTTCACTCTACTCCACACAAAGATGCCTTTTACTCATCTTGAAACTTACTCAAAAGAAAAAAAATCCCGGCAAAGGGGTCCCCAAACCTTCTACCTTCCCCAGGTAACAACATTTTCTTCTTGTGGGAATAAATGTGGTTAATAAATTAGGATCATCATTGTAACAAGACCTTTTCCTGAAAAGGGATCCAGGTAACTGATTGGGAGAAATGAGCTTCTTAGGCAAATCCTCTGCCTGAGAAGACTTTGTCTAAGTTCTTCATGAAATGTAGGTCTCCACAAATAGATTGGGAGGAAAACTTGTTCCTTTGTGTTCCAAATAAAGCACCTGGAAATTGTAATAGCATTTCACCGGGGACTGAAATCATAATTGGATTTTATTACAAGCCCCAAATATCTGTCCCAGAAAAAAAGAAAAAGAATAAAAAGGCTCAGAACTCCTTCCCCCTCTGCATGGTAGGGGATCTGAGCTGGAGAATGCATGCAGGGGGAACCTTGACTGGCATGAGTAATAATGAACACATATCTGTTTTCACGAACCTCTAACTGAAATTCTAGCATTTCCTTCTACTATAATGCAACCAGCAAACCACAATAGTTTGAGCAATAGTTTTAGCTTCGTTACAGATGAAAACACATTTTTTTCATAACCCATTAGAGTTGGTGTAGATATGTCAAAACATTATTTACGATCGTCATTTCTTCAAAATGATGATGGTTCTGAGACCTGCTGCTAGATTATTATAGGATACATTAATGAAACAGTTCTATTACTTTCACAGATTGTTTTTAACCTTTTGGTAAGTGTCTTTCGATCTAATTGCCTTTCTTTGTAATCTTACACATTTTATTTTATATGATTCAAAACATCCTTCTGAGAAATGGCCCACAGATCAGAGTTAGATAGAAGGATCCATGATATGAAAAATAAGATTACGAGCCCTTGCAAAGAGGCCGAGAGGATACACAACCACCACCTCCACT